TCTTACTTTTCCTACAGGATCTACATATTCCACTAATAGATTGGGATAGCAGCGGCCTCATACCCTGTGAGCCCAACTCCGGCATCACCGTACCCGAGATTGAATGTCCACTGAGCCATGAAGAACTTGCTGGCTTGACTGCGGCTGTGAACCCAGTGGGATCATCAAATCTTGGTGCTGACATTTATTTAACAACACTGCAGTACTTGCAGAGCATTGGCTACATGTAACCTTCGTAGTAGTCTTGACGATGTATAACAGAAGACAAAGACATCTCATCTTTTTTGATGGCATTTCATTTTTTTATTCATGTTTCAAATAAGTTTGTTGTGAACAGGTAAAGAGCATTGTAAAACACAACTGTTAAGACATTGAAGTTACGCTTTTGCAGCAGCCTGAGAGGTCTAGCAATTATTTGTGCTAAATATAAATAAATCTGAGTGACATTCTGAATAATTCAACATTTTATAAAGGTGAACAGTAATCTGAAAGTCAAATATGATCTACTGTCATGTTTTCAAAGCTTTTGTAACTTTGTTGATGACCGAGAAGGCTCATTTAAAGCTTTGTTTCATAAAATGGTGTTTACATTAAACCTTTGTAAAGTATTAAGCCTTTTTTAACATTTTATATAAATTGCCAATGTAATTATTAATGGAGACTCCACACTCACCATTTTGAGATGCTGTAATAATTATAATTATATCTTTTCCATTGTTTAGATGGAATTAATAAAGGTCTGAAGTATAAAAATGAAACATCAAACAACACTGCAGATTAATGAACAGATTAACCATATTTTAATTGGAATTCCTTTAACTTTGGTGCTGAAAAACATTTTATGTAATGTGGCCTAACAACATAATGCAGCCAAACATGCTCATGTTTTAGAGTTCAAATTAGTCCAAAGCCAGAGTCATTAGTTGCAATGCAACTATCCAAACAGTGTTGGAATTGATCATAAGTTGTGTAGTGACTAGGCAAACGTAGGATGTGAAAGCAAGTGGAAGATGTTGGATGGTCTGCCTGTACCACTTTCACTTGCATGTCCTGCATGGGCATCTCCCAGCCAACCCAGAATTTCACCAACTGCTTCCGTTTGTTTTCTGTCACTAAAAGGCAACAAATGACACAGAGAATATATGTTAACTGAAAAGAATTGTGATTCAGAACAAATTTTCAATATCTAGATTGTTAGCAAAGGTTTTCTAAAAGACATTTTATTCTTGTTCATTATCGAGTCCTATTGGAATCTTCGTAGGCAGGTTTAAAAGTAATTTCAAACAGTTTAAAATAAACGTGTAACAATTCTCTGAATACAGCATCTATTCAAAATAAACCTGTGCATTGTGACAGCACATATTCCGAAAAATGTATACCTTTCTCCACAAATTGGCGCAGGTAGCCAGCAACTAAGGATTTGGCAGCAACTGAGCATCCATCCTCATTCTGCTCCCCCTCTTCAGGCCAGATTATGTTTTTAAGGACCATCTTCATGAAAGTAAAAAAGCGAGTGTGATCTCAAGTAACAACAGTATAAAAGTCAAACAGTTCTATTTGAATCCTAAACAAAATACCTGGGCACTACATTCAGCCATCATGGGAAAATCACAGCTGCAACATCTGGCCTGGCCTCCAATAGTGGCAACAACATTGACTCTTGCAGGCCCTGCCTCAGCTGCTGGATTTGTTGTGAGGTTCGCTCAAGCACCTAGATAAAGATTTAAAATATTTATTTGTCAAGGAGTAAAAACTGTTCCTCAATGAGATCACACACCCTACATATCAAAGAAATATAGAACAGCCTTTTCTTGTAAGCAAACCAAGGAAAAAGAAGAATTACTATGGTACACTGGAGTAGCCTAATCTCTTTAATGTTGAATGCATGTGTTTGTGCTATAAGCTTAAAACACGAGGGAATGCTCACTGTGGTTGAGTGTAGGGATGTAGCAAATATGAAAATTTAGTATCACAATTATTGTGACCAAAATGATCACGGTTATAATTTTTATCACGGTATTATCAAAAATACCCCCCAGCATCTTTAAAAC